ACCGTCTTTGCGTGGGGTTTGCGCTCAGACGGAGTGGGACATGTGCCACTCTTTGAACTATGATGTATCTGTCCGGCCAGCCGAGTTGCTGCAGCTCCTGGAGGACTTTCTCACCTTGGAAGAACGGGAATGCATTATGCGCTCCATCACCCATGGAACAAGGCTGGGAAGCTTCTTTTCGTGACATAACTCTGGGTTGTGGTTATTTGTTTGTTATATATATTTTTTGTCTGACTTTAGAACGCCCTTTGGAAGCGTTTTTTTTTTTTTTGCTTGATTGATCTTTTGTTGCTGTTTTTTACTTTTCTCATACCGCTATGTCTTGCGCTTCATGATGTTCTGCTGAGTTGGTGAGGTGGGGCGGGGAGGTGGCGTAATGGTCAGGGAGGAATAAAGTCCATGCAGGAGGCACTGCTGGTGTTGATGCGTATGTTTATAAAATGCGTTAACAATGCCTGTTGTATTTAATTTACGTTATTAGTATTTTTGGCCCTCTGCTTGTTGTTTCATTGCCTACCCTTTTCACATGTGCGGAGGAAGAGCAATACCCACAATAAAAAAAAATTCTTCCAAAGCACATTTTTTTTTCTTTTTGAAGGATGGTCGTTAATTTTTGTCTGCTGACTTTGTCAAACTCCTGGGCAGCTGCGTGGACTTGCGCTCATGCGGGCCGCCGCCATGATTAACAACCCCTCTCACCCTTGGCGTCCTACGGTGGACATCAAAGGCATGCAACGGCGCAGCCATGTCGGCCCCGTTGCAGCCCCCGCTGCACGTTGGCGCAACATAGGCAATGTCAACAACGTTACTAGCAATACCAAATCTCTCAGTAGCGATCTGCAATGCCGCGACAGGTTTCACCAAACCCTCACTTCATGTGGGTTTCTTTTCCTCCCATGAACCAAAACATTGTAGGCGACTGGGACACGGCCTCTGTCGGCTATCCCCGGGTTGGTTACAATCCTACGCGGCGTCATCATACCACACCCGTGCCATGCAGCGATTAGCGTTATGGAAAGCAGCTCGTTGTGAATTTTCTGCCCCCCTGGATATGTTGACTGCGGAACTGCATGATCTTTTCTCTCGATGTGGGCTCCTTGATGGCGCCATAATTATCCACGACATACAGACGAACCTGCCAAAGTGATACGGCTTTGTCTACTTTTGCTGCCCAGAGGACGCCAAGGAGGGTGGTAGAGCAAGCGAGTGGGTTTGAACTTCATGGCAAACGCATAAAAGTAGGGGATTCCACAAATCCAGTTAGCATTGTCTCGGGTGCCGCCAACCAGTCCATGCATGAGAAAATGGCGTGGAAATAATATCTGCACCTTTTTTTTTTTCATAGCTTGTCATGTTTTGTTTCTTTGATGGTCGTTTGTATTGCGTTGGCTCCTGACGGAAAAGCGAGGTAGAACAAGAACAATTGCTGCCAGGCCAACGACTAAAGCATAGACAAAAAAAAAAGGCAGCAACTCGATAGTCTGAACTTGCTAGTTTTTGTTTATGTATGCAGGTGGGATGAATACAAAATAAAAGTTGGTTGACTGGACGCCGTATCTGTGTGTATGTTTGTTTTTTGTTATGCGCAATATATGCAGTGTAGTCTCTATCTCTCTTTCTTTCTTTTGCTTTGTGGGCAGCACCAGTACAGCCACTTTTTTTGTTGATGTTGTGCTTAAGTTGATTTATTGTTATTTTTTTAGACCGTTTTGTTGCGGTGATTTTTAGATTGATTGGCGTGAAGCGCCGAAGGGAACCGGGTGTTTTTGTAGAGGGGTGTTGCCTTCGTTTTTTTCCTTTTAGTTGCGGTGTGGTACGACACATGTAATAATATGTTCACATGTACATGTCTTGCTAAATTGCCGTATGGATTATTATTATTATTATTTTGTTCCTAAATAAAACTCAGCCGAGAGGGGCAAAATAAAAAGAGGCGGATGCTTTTTCTTTAAAAAATTGTTTTTGCAACCTTTTTTTTTTGCCCCTCCTGGTTTGATGATATGTACTGTCCGGCTATACACTACACAACCACGATGCCTGAGGCTTTGGGTCTTCTCATCCCACCCCGGTGTTTTTTTGTCTCTC